CTTCTGACTTGCAAGTGAGGTTATAAGATCACGATATAAATAAAGTTGAAACAATGTCATATGGACTATTTATTGATCAAACCAATATTGCATAAGAGAGCAAACATGATAGTAAGTGCCAAATAATACGGGACCAAAAGCGCTAATTATGGACTTGCTTCAATATTTGTTTGGTTGTAAGATGATTTTGGCTTAATCTGATGATACTCTGCACTTGTGTCTCTTGTGATTTAGATTGTTACCAGAAAGTTTCGAAGACTGTATACGGACTAGTAAACAAAATAATGACACAAAGTTTTTGTACGAGGGCGGCCTAACGCACTACAAAAAAAAACTCTTGCAACGGAAATTTTCCGTTGGAATTCTTTATATTTTTCGTTGAAATAGCTATTCTGACGGATATTCATACGTATAAAAATTCATGAGAAAAACGGCCGTTGGAATAGCTAAAATCCAACGGAAAATCCTATGAAAATAAATTCCTACAACTATTCTAAAGGAAAAAATCAGTTGGAATTTTCTCAACCATCCAACACTTATTCCAACATAAAATTAAGTTGGAATATTCATTGGAATTTCCAATGGAAATGTTTGCCGTTTGAATTTTTCGTTGGAATTGAAGTGTTTTCTTGTAGTGACGGTTAGGCAGGTCGACATGTCATACTTTTTTTTTAAAAGTATATATTTATACTAAAAAATGTTGTGCTTATGTCTAACCGTAAGGTCAACCTAAGAGCATCTCCAATGGTAAGTTGTCCATTTTGGGTTGCATAGCATGCATGGAGAAAAGAGATTAAAAAAATTGTGTCTCCAATGGATTATGTTTAAGATGGTTTATTATGACATGTGTAAATTTATAATTGGTTGAAAAAAATTAAAAAAAATTGAATATGTATTATAATATATAATAGAAGTTGTTAAGAAGTACTTCTACATCTAGAATTTTTTTGTATCATGTGGCAACAAGATAGGACAATCCAAAGGCCATTGGAGATGCTCTAATAACAGTTGAAAGAACGACGAGTTTATCTTTCCAGAACTTTTGAAATGGTAACGTGATTATTGATTTGGATACATAATTACTCGTTAACATGGATTATGTAAGATTAATTAACTACTAGGGCAAGTTCTTAAGAGACTAACAAAAGTAAGTTTAGTGGCAAGCAAAGTGCATGCTTTGAGGCTGGCAATTTGGTCAAGTGCCCTGACAAGTTTAATCATGTGTGTATAGGGGTGAGCAAAACCAAACCGAAAATGAAAAACCGCACCAAACCGAGCTATTTGGTACGGTTCGGTGCGGTTTTTTGGTAAGTTCGGTTATCGGTGCGGTTTGGGTTTTGAAAAACCGCAAGTATTTCGGTGCGGTTCGGTTTTCTGTCCGAAAATGCGGTTTTAACCGAACCGCACCGGATGTCATAAAATGTCAATTTTTTATCTTTTTAATAAATATCACTTTAATTTTTATAATTTTATTTACATAACATTAATTGGTGGCTATATTTTTTAATTTCGGTTAACCGAAAAACCAAACCGCACCGAACCGAATTTTTCTGTTCGGTGCGGTTCGGTTTTTCCTTCTATAGCGGTGCGGTTCGGTGAAAAAAAATTAAAAATTCGGTTTTCGGTTTTTTTCAGTGCGGTGCGGTTTTTAATCGAACCGCACCGATGCTCACCCCTATGTGTGTACTTCTGCTTGTTAGTGCAAATTAATATTTGGCTGCAAAAAATGTAAAATAGTCATCCTTTGACATTAGAAACAACCAATCCAAATCAATACAAGGTAAAACATATAAACATTGACAAACACAACTGTTAATATCTTGTCCAGAGGTGAACTATCAATTGAAGTAATCCAAAATCTACATTTAGACGTGGCCAATTGCCGGGCTGCGACCCTGCCGCCGGGTGGGCGAGCTTCAATCTCATGACCTGTGATTGGCACGCCCATTTATATGGGCCGGTTCATAGAATCGGCCTTGAACCGTCGGTTCACCGACTCGCGGGTTTCGGGCGGTTCTAGGCCGCTACCACCTTTAAAAAGAAATAATAGCATTGTGGTCTGTCGTCCAATCAGCGGCCCGACCTAGCCCAGCCTAGACCGGCAGGACAAACAAAATTATGAACTGGACCGAACTGCGACCCCAGGGGTCCGGTTCAATGAACCGGCCCTTAGGAGGCCGGTTCAGGGTCGGTTTGGGCGGGCCCGGGACCGATTCACGGGCAGAACCTATCTACATCGAGTTCACTGGTAACCTAAATTTTTTTTTCCTTTTTTTGGGGATGATAGACTTAACTAGTTTTAACTCGTGTATTTGCACGGAAAGCAATATAATGGAGGGGAATGTAATTAAAAGTACAAAGAAAAATGAAATCATAACTTAATCAATGAGAAAAAAATAATTTAAGAAAGTGAATCTAAATATTATTATAAACTTCTTTGTATACTACATTTGTGGTTTCCTATCGTCAAAATCCTCATTACCAAAAATCATTATATTCAAACCCCTTCGACTGGTGACTCTTGAAAGATCCTCAAACAACTGTCTGCACATAAATGAACACAGCGCTCTTCAGTAGTAAGTCGATGTGCGAAAAAGACTATTATTTGCTTTTATTGATTGTCATAGCATATAAAACCATGAGAGGAAATTGTCTACATTGAAACTTGAATGCTGTCTTCAAATTAAATGGTATGATCATGAGCCTAGGAATGAGAACCTTCTCACCAGCTTTGGCATCAGTTAAAATTGCGCATTTATTCGAGGACATGACTGATGAGCTTAGTAATAACCAAAAGTGTACTATTGAACAACTCATGGAGTGATCAATGTTTCTAAGCAGCATCATTGGACTGTCGACCTTCATGTGCAATTTATGATTAAAATGTCCCAAACACTTAATCCCATTGAGAAATTCAGGAGTATGAAGATCTTGAATGGAGTCATATCCAGCATCTGACTTGCATGGGGTGTCCGAACTCAAATAAGTCCTTCCCTCAGATGAGTTCAAATAGCTCATGTACTCGTTAACGAACTCATTGACGTCAACTGTGGGAGTGAGTATGGTTCTGTCCTTGAGACAGCTAAGATCGTCTCCTAAACTACTAAATATCGGGTAGGTACTCTAAACAATAGGATCAATAGGATCTCCTTGTGATTTTAAAAGAATATCGTCACGAATGTCGATATCGTCGCCAATGCTTGTAAGTTACTCCGAGAAGCAACTCAAACCATTGTACTCATCACCCCCACCAAGGCTTCAAAAAGCCTCATATTATAAGTCAGTCTCAGAACGACATAATTGCGCCATATATAATGAGTTGATGTTTAGGCATTAATTTTATTAAAATAATATATTTATGTTAATTGGTCTTATAATTTTAGATGATCACATAGATATATAATTTTACTTCCATTATATTATGAAACCATTAAATTTACAAAAAAATAAAATAAAAAATCATTTTATATATTACTAAAAATCAGTTAAATCATGTATATGGGGCTGATGTATAGGGGTTAATTGGGCATGATTTGTCTTTCAACTAAGAGTATAAATATCAACATTTTCTTATAAATATATGTTTATATAATCATCATATTATTTAGTACTAATGTTCATTAAAATTATGAAAATCATTCTTGTTTTAAGAAAATTCAACATATAATTTATAATTTTGCAAGAATAATTTGAAGGAGCTGGTGCAAGGATATGCATTCTAAATGATATACTTTTTTTTCATATTTGATTTGTATCTATGTAATTATTACTTTTTTCAGTATATAACACTAACACGCGGGTCGCGTCGCGGAGTCGGATCGCCGCGGAAGGGCGCGTCGCGG